TACTTATAATAAAATATTGTTGGTCCTTTGTGTTTATGTTAATGAGCAGATTTTGCATTTATATTAAATATTTGTGTAATTCAAAGGTAATGAATCAATTATCTGAACCAAAAAATTAATCCAGTAAAGTTTGTAAGATTAAATAAATTACAACCAGCTATAATATGTTTTGTTACATTTACATTTGTCTGTTACTTATACTGCTATTTTTGTATTTCACACAAATAAATAATTTGATATTTCTTTTCAGTTTTTCTGTCAGCTCCATCTACAAAATTATAAAACTATTTGAATAACCTTAAGTTTAGTTTGTTTGTTTGTAATTAAGCACAAAGCTACACAGTGGACTATCTGTGCTCTGCCAATCACGGGTATCGAAACCCGGATTCTCGCGTTATAAGTCCGCAGACATACCGCTGTGCCACTGGGGGGCGAATAACCTTAGACCAAAAGCACACCAGGTAAGTTATAAGTTAAGCCTTTTTGTCAAGCCAGCGAAAATGGTGCCGAAACTGTGTTTCTGTTAAAAATATTTGACTGATATACGACTGCAATACAATTTTTTATAAAGGCCCGGCATGGCCAGGTGGCTAAGGATCTCGACTCGCAATCTGCGGGTCGCGAGTTCGAATCCCCGTCGCACGAAACATGCTAGCCCTTTCAGCCGTGGGGGCGTTATAATGTGACGGTCAATCCCACTATTCGTTGGTAAAAGAGTAGCCCAAGAGTTGGCGGTGGGTGGTGATGACAAGCTGCCTTCCCTCTAGTATTACACTGCTAAATTAGGAACGGCTAGCGCAGATAGTCCTCGTGTAGCTTTGCGCGAAATTCACAAACAAACATTTTTTTATATAGATATATTCATGTCGTGGCACGACGAGGCTGTAATCTTAGTGATTATTTATTATATTCAACAAGTGGTATGCGCATTAACCCACTTTAAGGTACTTTTTTTTCTTAAGATTTTTCACACAAAGTTACATAACAGCTACCTGCATGTAGTCGTCCCAAATTTTCAACTGACCTACTAGAAAGAGGGCGTGTGAATGAAAAGTGGGACTTTTCTAGGTCGCCAACGGCCACGACTGCGAACCCGTTTTTCTTTTTCTTTAGAAGCGACGGGACACGAACCATATACCCGTTGATTCACGATTCGGGTATCTTTGACACTAGTCACCAGGTCTAAGCATGATGTAGCAGACTAAGTTTGTCCATTATAATAAAATACTCCTTCAAATGACCTATCTCTTAAAGGTCCAACTTTTCGCAGAAACGTCTTGCTCTTCCTTCAGTTACATTATCGATCTATAATTGCTGACCAGAGGAAGGTCAATTAACTAGTAGCTCCCTCCGCCTACTTTTCTAAATAGTAGGTTTGTTTGTTTTTTGAATTTCGCGCAAAGCTACACGAGGGCTATC